ATTAAGTAACTTGGCAGCAATTAAAATCGTTTTCAGCCTGAACTTTTGCATACTTTTGTGGAACTTGAAATTAGATAAGTTGAAAACGAATGACTAATGCTTCCACTTTAAGTTAAATAGTTCCTTACAAGTTGTTATCGTGGAAAAAATTATTTGTCTAAATGAATCGATTTTTTTTATATTAGCGCAATATCGCTTAACGCGATTTATAAATCAAGTCTTATTTATTCATTACGTTAGTTACATAAGAAAGTAATGCTCTTCACGTTAGGAAACGGTTAAACTCAAAACTTATTGATTGTTTATGTATATATGTCATCATCATCATTTCAGCCTGTTTGAGTCCACTGCTGAACATAGGCCTTCCCCACAGACTGCCATGAAGTACGATCCTGAGCCACCTGCATCCATCGACTTCCCGCACATTTGCACAGGTCGTCACTCCATCTAGTGGGGGGTCGTCCTACACTGCGATGGCCAGTACGAGGCTGCCACTCGAGAACCTTTCTTCCCCAACGGTTATCGGTTCTACGAGCTATATGGCCGGCCCATCGCCACTTCAGCTTGCTAATCCTCTGAGCTATATCGGTTATCTTAGTTCTACTGCGGATGTCTTCGTTACGAACTCTATCACGCAGAGAAATACCGAGCATAGCCCGCTCCATAGCTCGCTGAGCGACTTTGAGCTTCCTCATACGGCCAGCAGCGAAGGACCACGTCTCGGTTCCGTAGGTCATCACTGGCAACACACATTGATTGAAGACTTTAGTCTTCAAACAATGACGTATATTCGACGAGAAGATTTGCCGAAGTTTCCCGAACGCTGCCCATCCGAGTTGGATTCGCCGATTGACCTCTGCGTCGAAGTTGGACTTACCTAGCCGGACTAACTGTCCTAGGTAAACGTACTCGTCAACAACTTCGAGCTCAGTGCTCCCAACAACAACCGGTATAGGCGTGACATGGACATTAGACATGATCTTCGTCTTGTCCATGTTCATCTTAAGGCCCACCCGTTGGGAGACACTGTTGAGGTCATTGAGCATAGCACCCAGGTCCTCCAGCGATTCTGCCATGATGACTATATCGTCGGCAAATCGAAGGTGGGTGATGTATTCGCCATTGATGTTAATACCTCGTCCTTTCCAGTCCAGAAGCTTGAAAACATCTTCCAACGCAGCGGTGAAGAGTTTCGGGGATATGACATCACCCTGTCTTACACCCTTCTGCAGTTGGATAGGTTTTGTACTATTGGACTGTACTTGGACGGACATCGTAGCCTTGCTATACAAACACCTCAGCACTTCGATATACCGACAGACAATTTGGCACCGCTGAAGAGCCTGAAGTACCGCCCACATTTCGACAGAATCGAAGGCTTTCTCATAGTCCACATACGCTAGGCATAAGGACAGATTATACTCTTCGGTCTTCTGTTTAATCTGCCGCAAGGTGTGTATGTGGTCTATGGTACTGAAGCCTTTTCGGAATCCGGCTTGTTCGGGAGGCTGGAAGTCGTCGAGTCTGGAAGCGAGACGATTCAAGATGACTCTTGAGAACAGCACATAGACGCGGCTCAGAAGGGATATCGGTCTATAGTTCTTCAAGAGAGCGTTATCGCCTTTCTTGAAGAACAGCACCACCACACTTCTGCTCCACGCCTCTGGTGTAGTGCCACCCTGAAGGACGGAATTAAAGAGCCTCTGAAGGACTACAAGTACCGGTTCTCCACCCACTTTCAGAAGCTCTGCTGTAATTCCGTCCTCTCCCGGTGCTTTGCCATTCTTAAGATGGTTAAGAGCCATTCTAATCTCGCTCAGACTAACGTCCGGGATATTTTCGGAATAGTTTTGCGGATAAGTTTTGCTCTTGGGTCGTTACTCACATATGTGTGTGGCTCCAACGACGATGTGTACAGCTGTCCATAGAACCTCTCAATCTCACTCAAAACCTCTGGTCTACTGGAGATGATAGCCCCGCTGTCAGTCTTCAACTTAGTCAGTTGGCTTTGTCCGATAGACAGATCTCTGGCGAAGACTTTTGAGCCTAGGTTCCGCTCTATAGCACCCTCAATACGAGCTGTATTGAAGTTGCGTAAGTCTCGCCGCATGTATTTGGAGATCTGCCTATTAAGCCGCCTGTAGTCTGACATGTCAGTTGAAAACTGCAGCCGCATCTCACGTCTTTTTCCCAAGAGGCTTAGAGTGTGATTGGAGAGTTTTTGCGTTCTATTTGTGCGGCGGGCCTTATTAAATTTAAGGCCCACGGCATGGACAGTTTCCACGAGCTTAGCGTTAATATCGTCCACAGTGCTGCAATTTTCTAGGCATTGGAAGCGATTATGTAGCTCGAGCTGAAAGCTTTCGGAGTTCTGGATATGGGCACGAGATGGTCGGAGTGTGGACTTCATTATACGAGATCTTTCCAGCCTGATGTTAATATTCAATGTGTCTCTCACCAATCGGTGATCACTGCCGGTCTTCACCCTTGTGATCACAGAGACATCATTGAATATTTGCCGTTTGTTCGTCATAATGAAGTCTATCTCGTTTTTTACGGAACCATCGGAGCTAATCCAGGTCCACTTTCTGTGGGGCTGCTTTTTGAAGAAGGAGTTCATCATAAAGAGTCCCTCCTTCTCCATAAAGTCAGCCAGCTGCTGCCCTCTTGGGTTCCGTTGCCCTATTCCAAAACTACCTACTCTCAGCTCATCGTCTTTCCTTTTGCCTAGTTTTGCGTTGTCCCCAGTAACACCATGTACTGAGTTTTGGAGGAATGTATGGCTCGTGATATATCCTCATACATTGCCTCCACCTCATTATCGGGATGTGTCGACGTTGGTGCGTAAACCTGTATGACCTTCAGCGAATACCGATTGGATATTCTGAGTATAAGGTACGCAACCCTCGACGACACACTCTCGATTTTAACAACGTTGTTAATGAGAGACTTGTGGACGATAAATCCGACACCTCCTTGGGACAGTTGGTCGCCCTCCCGATGGTAAAACAGGTTGCCGGATTCTAGGATTATCGTGTCCTCCCCCTGTCTTCGGACTTCAGATAATCCTATTATATCCCAGCGCAGCCTGTTCACCTCTTCTTCCAGCTCTGTAATCTTCTCGTCAGTCCTCAATGTTCTTGCGTTGTATGTTGCCAGGTCCAGTCGCCGTCGTTGGTAGCCGAATCCTAGCCGGGGATTCTTAGCATACATGTATATATGTATTTAACATAAAATACCACTTTCAACTTAAGCTTATACCTATATAATATAATTACATATATTGAAACACGGTGACTTCTATTTTTAAATGGTACTCATTCTATCAAGTTAATTAGATCGAGGTGAATTATCGCCCTTAAGTCAGGCTTATTACGATGTTCGTAATCCATGTCAGTACTTTATGCTTTACGAGCACCTTAAATGAATCGGAACCGGATTGTGTGTTAACCTTCAACAAGCCTATATCGATCGAGCCATGTCGTGGGCGTATTGAAGCGTCGGCTCTTTTTTCAAGTTTTTCTTCGTATGTTATTTATTAATATCGTTTTAAATTTAACTCTAGACTGTCTAAATTAATAGGTCAACGTTTGAAAAATATAAATCATTCATCAATCATTACAAAACTATAGGGTTTCATCGTTAACATAACATAACTTTAGAACAATCTTTTGATTTCATCAACGATCTCAACAGGATCCTAAAGTTTTTTATTTAATTTAGCTAATAAAATAATCGCTAAATAGGCTGTATTGATTTGTGCAATTTTATGTGCAGTAAAACAAGATATATATTAACTGTAAAATATTCAAAACGTCAGATGTTAAAGTTTTATTAAACATTACATGTTCGAAAAAGAAGTACCTCCTTAAATCTTATCTTCTATCATTATAGTTAATACCGCTTCAATGATTACTTTATTTGTTGTTAACTATTGTGTGTTAGTGCCACTATTATTATTTTTCTCTTTAGTAAAAAAGGAAGAGAAAATGTATAAATACTCCTGTTCCTCCATAATTGAGTTGCTACATCGTATAGTAGTAGTGAATCACGCAACTGGTTCGAGAGATGCTTTTCTGCATTCTTGCTTAAGACAAGGCTTGCAAGTAAGTTGTGAATTCCCTTAAAAGTGAAACCGTTTAGAAGTTTTGCGATCGCCGAAAGGTACACCACCGTTCATTAAGGAAAATTAGCCCGATTGGTTCGTACAGGTACGCGCTTTTAGTATTTGTAATGTTTTATCTGACAATGAAAGTGATCATAGATCTAAGGATATAAATATAATAATACAGGTATATTATCGCTTGTTTAAAACTAACTTTAATATAATTAAAACGTTAGCCCATCAAGGCACTTTATAATTACATAGTAGGATAATGACGCTGTCCTATGTAAATTTCACAAGATAACCGTACTTTTTTAAGTCGGGTTTTAATAGTTGTAAACTATACTAGTTCTAAGCTATTTCTAGACATAAGTAAACAAAAGTAATAAAATGAAAGTCATAAAATTATGAACAATTTATTTATATTAAACTGTATTAATAGTTATACGTTACATTAATTGTATAAAAAGGGCGCATAAGGCCATCGTCAATGAAACAGGGTCACTAAAACTCGATCCTTTCCCTTGATGTAGTTCAGCTAAGCTTTCACCTGAAATAAAAAAAATAATTGAAGTTAAGACTAATAATACGATTTTAATATGAGGAAAACTCTGTTAAGATTTGTGACAATATTAAGAGAAACAAATATTTATTCTAATCCGAAGCGAAGTCTGAGTAAGTGAAAGTAAAATAATGACATGATGTTACTAAATGAAACTCTGTTAGTTTTATAATAATTTCTTCCTTGTCGTTTCAAATTCCAGTAGTATCTTTGAATATTGAAAACAAATGTGTACATCTATTTTAGGACTAGTTTGTAGCAAATTCTATTAACTAAAATGTTGCACGGTTTGTCCAGATGTTCATTTAATAGGTAGCATGCGTTTACCTTTTATGACGTGTAGAATAACTTTCGCCGGGAGCGGCGCCGGTGGTGGGGCTCGGGCGACGCTGCACGAATAGCTGCCAGCGTCATCGGCGCGCACTCGAGCGACGCGTAACACTGAGTTGGCACCGTTTGCCCCGAATTCGGTGCGAACGCTGCATATTAAAATGACAGGGTGTTTAGAAACGCGTCTGTATTACGAAAGCACTTCACACCCCAGAGACGGGCACGAATTACGATCCTGCGTCGCGTACACGGATCACCTACAACCAACATCGACATGGTTGTCGTTCTACGAGCTATACGGCCTGTTCCGCTTTTTAATCGTCTGAGCTATCACGTAAAGAAATACCGAGTACAGCCTGTTCCATGGCTCGCGGAGTGACTTTAGGCCTCCTCATACAGCCAGCAGTGTGACTGGGTCTACGTCTTACTTGCGTAAGCCACGCAACGGTGGTAGAGCCACACAGCAGCCTCGGCTGTTGCACGAATGGGCAGGCTCGTCCGGGTAAGTACCATGACCTCACAGAAGACCGCCGTAAAGTGGAAGTATGACAAATACTTTCGCGTTTCGTCTGGTGAGTGAGGTAGCCGGAGCCCAATTTCCAAAAAGGTTGTCAACTCATCTGCAAACCCTCGGATGCAACAGATGTCAATGGGCGGCGGTATTCACTTGACATCAGGTGAACCGTCTGCTCGTTTGGCAACTTTTCACATAAAAAAATCGATTGAAGACTTTAATCTACAAAGATTGCGGGACTTTAGACAAGAACATATGCCGAAGTTTCCTAAACACTGCCCTTCCAAGTTGGATTCGCTTTTTTACATATAAACTAAAAAAAATATCTCGAACCTTATACCACCTCTGGTGGTGTCGTCGTTGAGTAGGGAATCCCTGCGATGCCACAGCAATGAAGGACCACCTTCCATCTTGAGGCCCCGTACCTCGCAGCGGAGGGCGACTGTGCTGCCAATCTCGCAGACTTGTTCTGACACCGAAGCACCGGCCCCATCCACAATTCGCACAGATACTTCTAAAACGTTTAGTGATGTTAATAGCGTAAAAGTCGCTTTGACTAGACTTATTAACAACTGTCGTTAGTATTTTTGTAGTAGTTATATTCTTGTTGCTTAATAAGTTTTGCTCGGGTTTCAATGCTTCCCACAATTAAAATGTTCCGATCCGTGTGAAATTTGACCTGTTTATATGTCTACGATATTTGCAAAAATAGTATGTTTATCTATGTGTACCAGTTCCCTTGTATCTACAATACCAACTTTGCTTATTTTGGTAATAGATAACGTGTAAAAAAATTCTTGATATATTTATTATTAAATTATCTTAAAAGAACATCAAACGTATTTTGTATTCCAATTTGTTAACCATACCAGAGGGTAAATGGTAAATTGCCAGACACAGACAGAACTGAACAAAGTAAGTGAGTAATAGAATATAACGTAGAACATAGTTTTTGAATCGATAAAGTAAACTCAGTCATTGAAAAGGCCTACAATACTATGGGATCAAGATACTACGCCAGGGTTCTGTGTGAATTTTGTTTGTAATCGAAAGGTGCAAAGACCACCTCAACAAGAAAATGGAAAAGGTTTGCCATTTTCGGTATTTATTCTAATATATTTTGCATTTATCTATATGTCTATTTTAATAAAGGCATCTACCTGGAACCAACAAAGTCACTCGAGCAGTTCGTGGGGGATGAGCAGATAATTGACAGTCGTAATAAGCAGCGTCCGTAGGCCTCACTTCTTTCACCTCAAGCCGCCAAATATCGGGTGGAATGAAGCGAGCAGAATATCTAGGAAAAATATGATGAAGATTACGATGTGTATTAACATCGAAATAGCGAGTCCATTCAAGGCTTTTGTGTATATATCAGTCCTATAAATGTGAAATACAATTCTGACCTAAGTCTACGAAACTTTCAAAATGTATTCTCAGATAAAGCCTTAAGGATATTTCGCTTGACCGCAGCCCGTCCTAAGCAATATTATTTGAAGAAACTGCTGCGACGGGTCCAACCACGCGAATATTATAAAAATATTATCTATTTTCTACGATATATTCTCACTATATTGGACGATCTTTGTTTATTATTTTACCTTTTGTTTTTATTAAAATAATGTTTTCAAAAAAGTTCTATAATTAATTAAGTGTAATTTAGTGATTAACCTGTAATCATTTTCTATGTAATTGCTCAACTGAATATTTATTTTATAAGCTATAAGTTGAAAATCAAAACGATGTGATGTCTTTCTTTCTTTCATTAAAAACTTTGAAAGAAACTTGTGTGCACCTTTTATCGGCTGTATACAGCTGAGTTCCTGTTGTAAGCAGCTCCATGGGCTCTTCGTCATTTTTCCGACGTACCCATGACACCTGCAATTTTTGAAACAAGAAAGAAGAGATAACAAGAAGCAATAAGGCTTAGTATTCCATATGCTTTTGAATGCTTAAATAACTTAGAACAGAATTTTAAAAAAAACTTTTATACATAGATAGTATACATAAAGAAGTAAATATTTTTTGATGGTTTAGTGGCAATTACCATTTTTGTGATATTTATTTATGTTTTAAAGGCTTTTACCTGATCATATAATGACAAACCATAATTTATGATATATGCATATGCAACATGGTGTATATGCAATTATGCATCTTCCGAGTTCATGTGTCTATTCTACAAAAGTCAAGTAATTCACATAGTCGCTTAAGATAGAATGGTTTCTTTAAAATAACGATTTCATTCTATCTCTAATTATTTTAAACCGATAAGCGCTTCTTGAGAGATTTCTGTGAGAGATTTCTATGATAGAAAATTTTATATTGCAGGTAAAGTGCGACCTACATTCCATTCTGTAGACTAATTTGCATATTGTATGCAATGCGGTAGTAAAATGTCTGTTAATTGACTTTCTAATATCTTTAGGAATTCATTAAAGCGTCTTTATTAAAAATTCGATAGATCAATTAAAAGCAGTTAATTATGGCTAACGTAGATTAATTAATTTCTTGCGTCTACACTCAACTGCTTTGAACATTCATCATTTGGCTTAGAATTTCCAATTTAGTTTTTGTGGGAACTATTGATTGTACGATATACAAGATAATTCTGCGTGGCCATACTGTGGTAGGTCCGAACAACAGCCTCTGTTGTTGCACGAATGGGCAGCCTTGTCCAAAAAAAATCCATGGCCTTACAGAAGACCGGCGTAAAGTGGAAGCATAAAAATTTCGCGTTTCGTCTGTTGAGGGAGCTTACCGGGATCTACTTTTTTTTTTTTTCATTTTATCAATGCATCAGCAAGCCATCGGATGTTGCAGATGTCCACGGGTGGTAGGATTCATTTTACATCAGGTGAAAAAATATCCAAAATATACCATTTTTTAATGGAAAAGGAGACAAAACGAGTTCACCGCCATTCATGGAGACTCGCAACACCAGAGGAGCAAAACGCGTGCCGGGATTTGAAGTAGAAAAAGTTTCTATAATATAAACACCTCGAAAAGAAGTAGAATACAGTTTTAATATCAGTCGCAATATGTATAAAAGTACGCAAAAAGTAACAAGGTACACCCCACGAAAGTTGCTATAGTTCCTGTGTACCGCACTGAATGCAGACACACATTTTATGCTGCTGACCAATCATCCACCAGATTTATAAGTGTTAGAGTATCTTGTTTATATACATGCATAGCCTTGTAATTAAATAGTTTATATGTTATGTGTAATGTGTATATTTTCAAAATAAATTTTATTATTTTCTACAGAAAGTAATAAAAATAACAATACTGTTACCAGTTTATCATGTAGTGCGTCTACTTTGCAGTCGAGATGAGCAGTGGAACCAACTAGTGCCTCAATCTCTGGTGCAGCCGCGGCATAAATACTATTTCCATTACCAGGCCTGAAACAGTCTATAGCTAGAAATTCAAAGATTTTAATTCCTTTATTATTTTTCTCAATAACCGGCTATGCAGTGCTTAATTTTCGGGTATTTTTATTCACTTTTAGCTTAAAAAATATATTAATAACTTATTATAAAAGCCAATACATGTATATGTTAAATCCCAATAACTGAACTATTAAGTCAAGATACTAAGCAAATAAGAATGACTTAATAGTTCAGTTTTCTACACTTCAAACTTAGAAGAGTTATACATTTTACATTTATTTTTCATACCTTTCGTTTCTATGATGATGTGTATTTGAATAGGTGTCAAATATATAATTCAAAAGAGGTGAGTTAGAGCCAACTTCACCAGCTTTTCGTCGCCTTTCTGTCAATTGAGGCGCCAACTTAAATACTGGAACGGTTGACACCTCCACATTATGTTCCTTAGTAATGTTGTCTTCTGTCCTTGTAACATTTACAACTTTTCTCTTTCTTAATCTCTTACGATTTTTACTGATAACAATCGTATCACTGACAGATATTTCGGCCCTTGGTTTGTTTCCAGTTAGTTGAGGGGAGATTGTTCCATTAAAACAGCAATTAACCTGACTACTATCACTAGGGGAAGAATATTTAAACTGGTTGTGGGGTTTATAATTTGGCGCTATATTAAGATTAGAATAGTTTAGGTTGGCGAGAAGTTTAGTTGAGTTATGTGAGTCTGAGCTACGGTACAACATTTGATAAAGTTGGTTTATCGTCGGCTGCGACCCTCCTTCGCGTGTTTCATACAAAATTGTTAGAGTAGCGTCGGCGTCGGTCCCTATAAAAGATAACAGGCTTTTGGTTACGTGATCAAGTTTTATTGTACTAACTAATTTTATCGGGTTTTAAACTTTTTACTCGGAAATGCTTATTGTGCAACTTTAGGCGCTTTAAGTACGAGAGGTTGAGTAATTTTCGTAGTGAATAAATTACCTCGACAAGGCAGAACAGCAAGTGCGCCCAATAGTAGAGCCGCAGTGGCGGATGCACACATCGCTTCTACATGTTTGTAGACGCTGCAAAAATGTAATTCATCCATCTGAATAATAACTAATGAAACTTATCCGAACGTTATTTTATAGGTTTCAAATTACCCCATAGATCTTTAGTCATCTTGTAATGGATGGAAATTTTCCAAGTTATTTACTTGAATTAGAAACTAATTGCATTGCTTAATCGTGGCCGAAAATTCAACCTTAATCGTACTTACTCTAAGTTACAGAGCTAAACTACAGGCGTAGACTGGTTTAATCCAGTTTATAGTCATAATTTAATGAACATACAAACAACTTTAAAATGACTCTTTCGGCGTTGTCGGGGGTTCAATTCCTACACGGCACATGTATTCGTGTAAACCTCAGATAACTGCTCTGGATCTAGGTGTTTATTTCCAAGGAACGTTGACATCAGGCAGGCGACCGGTTGTGAAAAACCGGCCAAGTGCGAGTCGGACTCGCGCACGTAGGTTTCCGTACCATTATCTATTACAAAAAAATTATGTCTGTTCTATGAGAGCCCCACTTAAATATATTTATACTGTTTTTAAACGGTTTTATTTAGCTCGACCCGTACGGAATTTGTTTGTTTATTTATTTGGGTCAAAATTCGAAATTGAAATTTAAGCACCTTGCCGTTGTCAGATTGATCTGAAATTTGGTACACACATTTAATTTAGATGACAATACAATATTAACAAAAAAAATTTAACAAAAAAAAACATAAAATAAAACCGTTTAACTTAACAGTTTTTTAAAGTAATTATTTGTTGTTGTTATAGCGGCAAGGGAAGTAAATCATCTGTGAAAATTTCAACTTTATAGCTATCACGGTTCATGTGATAAAGCCTGGTGACAGACGGACAGACAGACAACGGAGTCTTAGTAATAGAGGCCCGTTTTACCTTTTGGATACGGAACCCTAAAAAGTAAACAACATCTCTAAGAACATAATGTGCACGTTTTACAGACGATAAGGGCTGGAGAAAGAAGAAGATAAAGCTTTTTAAAGAACGAATTTTACCTCTGCTCGTCATTTTAATACGGATTCGATGATAATTAAGGGGCGGTCCTTATCATTTATTTCACACCCCAAAACGTTTTAATAATTAACACTTGAAAGTAAGCATAATGGGGATTTCAACGATCATAAGAATTAACAAGAGAAATAAATATAATTTCAAGTTTTACATTGAATATCTACTAAAGCTTAGCAATTCTTTCGTATAAAATATATCATATTCTCAATTAAAAGCGGTAGAAAACCAGGTTATGACCTACCTCAGGTTATTAGGACTAATTCGGTGTTATATAGAAAAAATACTACTAAATGATTATCGAACAAAATAAAGTTGTGCTTGAATTAAAAGCCGGAGATTTAAGTTAAATTAATAAAAATTATGTTTTGCTATTGAAAACTCAATATATCGAACACACTCGATCATAGAACGGATACGACAAAAACAAAATTGTACGAGAGCGATCCAGATGCTGTTTAATTTAACAAATTATGCTGGTCGTTAACATACGCGCATTTATTTATTACAGTAAAGGAATTAAGAAAGTGAAATTTTCGCACTTACGGCGGCCTAGCACCAATAAAATAATACGAAACAAATATTTAAGAAAAAAAAATGTTCAAAATGAAATACATTCGCTTTTATATTTGTTTGGGGGAAAAACCAATTGAGAATTCTATAATTCACCAATCTTGGGCAGAAGTTTTGTTTAAATTCCAAATAAGTCACAACAGCATTTTTATCACATACATATTGGGTTCCAGACGTTGTGACAAGTAGAAAATAACAACGCCTTTGTTATTTTGCGACACTTACGCCCGGTTTCTAAAACAATGATCATCATAGATGTCAACTGATCAGCTCAAATGGCTTTTATGGTTATGGTCTTTAAATTGATCATACTGATCATTAAGAAGATCTTTCTTGTCAATTCAGAGAGTTTAACCACGCTTTTGGTAACTAAATGAAATTTGAAAAGCGATTTGACAACCGATTAGTTGACATCTATGATGATCATTTACGGTGGTAGGACCACGCAACAGCCTCGGCTGTTGCACGAATGAGCAGGCTCGTCCGGGTAAGTACCACGACCTCACAGAAGACCGACGTAAAGTAGAAGTAAGTACCTATAATACTTCCGCGTTTCGTCTGGTGAATGAGGTGGCAGGAGCCCAATTTTCAAAAGATTGTCAACGCATCTGGAACCCTCGGGTATAGCAGATGTCCATGGGCGGCGGTATTCACTTAACATCATGTGAACCGTCTGCTCGCTTGGCAACTTTTCACATAAAAAAATAAGTTGTTCAGAAACCGGGCGTTATGGGTTTCTTTCGAGTAAAAATATTGTGTAAAAAAACACGAATGCGGACGATCTATTTGTTATTTTATTTCAATCATGTGGATTTTTATTCCGTACATCTCTTGAATATAATTTCATTGAAGCGGAAAAAATGTGACTTAGTAGTAGTTACGTATTTTGCTAAAGTAATGTCTTCAAATCTAGCTTCCATAATGGATTTTTTTTATTTCATGCAGTATTGAGATATTTTTGACCAAAATTAAGTGAATGAAAAGTAATGTACTCGGTGGCGCCGTTCCCAAGCTATTGGCTTCGGCGTCGGGGGTCGTGGATTCGATTGCCACACGGAACAAGTATTTGTGTGTACCACAGTTAATTGTAAAAACAGGTTGTAAATATCACATTGATTCACATGTTGACCGCATCTAGGTGGGATAAGGGTAGGAGAATAATGAAAGTTATCACTACATAGTATAAAACAAAGTCGGCCGGCTGTCTGCCTGTCCCTATGTATACTTCGATCTTTAAAACTACGCAACGGATCTTGATGCTGTTTTTTACTAGATAGAGTGATTCAAGAGGAAGGTTTATATGTATAATAAATTGCACCCGTGCGAAGCCGGGGCGGGTCGCTAGTGTACAATAAATTAAGAAGATGCGCACGTCCCTCCTCTGTAAAAAGAGTATCAGGATAGGATAGGAGATATCGTAAGGTACCAAAGTCTATTAAATGTTTTATCCTACTGTATTATTAGTAATAAGCACTTTACCACAACCAGTAAATCAGCAATTGAAATTGAAAGTGGTAATTTCATTAATGTCGGCAGACAATTTGGAATCAGTTTTATTGAAAAGAATATTTAAAAATTTAAAAGCGAACAAAGGGTAATAAATAATCGGGTTCTATCATCAAAAAACTCACCACCAGTCTCTCAGCTACGCGTAATAATGGCAGAGTCAAACCGCGATCGATTAATGTAGCATTCTACAACGCGAACGGGCTTAAAGAGCAACGCGACGTAATACGTATTTTCTTACGCGACCACCAAATCGATATACTTCTCATTCAGGAGACGTTCCTGAAACCCGCGACAAGGGATCCGAACATCCCCAATTATCGAATAGTTAGGAACGATCGTGTCGGCGCCACGGGCGGCGGCACACTTATATACTATAAAAAATCTCTCCATTGCGTACCGGTAAACACGCCCGCGCTCACGCATCTCGAGGCCTCCGTCTGTCAGCTGGCTTTAACTGGCCACTCTCCTATCACCATAGCATCAGTTTACTTCCCTTGTAGACCAGCCGCAACAATATTGCAATCAGATTTTGAGGCCCTCTTCTCTATAGTGAGCCACCATCCTAGTTGGCGACTTCAACAGCAAGCACACCCGATGGAACTCGACTCGTACCAACAGTCGAGACACCGCACTCGACTCGCTGTCCGACAGGCTCGACTTTGAAGTCGCTGCCCCCGTCGAACAAACGCGCTTTCCTTATGTAGAGGGACACACATCGGATGTGCTTGACATTGCACTCGTCAAAAACATCAGTCTCTCCTTATGCGAACCGGAAGTGATACACGAGCTTCACTCCGATCACCGACGAGTTCTCCTCCGGCTAGGGCCTTCAGCAACAGCCGCTCCCCTAACCAAAACTGTCATCAGCTGGCATAAAATCAAATCCAAATTTAACGAACCTAATCCTCCACAACTAGAGTCAATCCCTAGAGAATTGAATACCAAACAGGACACGGAAACCGCAATTCGAGCCCTCACAAGCCACGTCAACACCGTCGTCGAGCAATGCTCGAGACAGGTCCCGGCGATGGAAGACCATCGCTGGGCCCTGCCAGACGATGTGCGAGACTTGCTGAGACGCAAGAATGCGGCCACTCGAGCCTATGATAGATATCCCACCGACTCGAATCGTAGACTGCTACGTAAATTGCAGCGTGAGGTCAAAACACGCATAGCAGACTCACGAAACGAACGATGGGACTCCACCCTAACTTCAGTAAAACCATCCCACGTAGCTTTCTGGAAACTTCCCAAAACCCTCAAGGGTAACGGCATAACAACCATGCCGCCACTAGTCCGTCCGATAGGTACGTCAGCAATGCTGGACGAAGAGAAGGCCGAATTCCTGGCTGACAGCCTAGAGTCTCAATGCTCCCCCAGTCTGCTTCCGATCAACCCCGAACACCTCCGCAAGGTGAACGAAGAGGTAGAAAGGAAAGCTTTAGAGCCACTCCGCGATCCCGTTCCCCCGGTCACGTGCCTAGAACTAGTAGAGACCATTAAAAAACTACGCCCCCGTAAAGCACCAGGCTCAGATGGAATCACCAATAAGGTGACCAAGCTCCTTCGTACTAGCATCCTTCAGATACTAGTATTAATTTACAACGCGGCCTTAACCGAAGGCTTCTTCCCATCCGAATGGAAGGAAGCCGATGTCATAGGGTTCCTCAAACCCTCTAAACCCGCCATTCTCCCAACCTCATATCGTCCAATAAGTCTTCTCAAAACATTTGGGAAGATCTTTGAAAGACTAATATTAGCCCGCTTAAGATCCCTTATGGACACCAAAGGGCTCCCCATCCCAGAGCAGTTTGGATTCAGAGCCAAACACTCGTGTACCCACCAAGTGCACCGCATCACGGAGCACATACTAACCAAAC